GGGAAAAATTGGAAGTGAAAGTAATTTTGCCTTGAAAAAAAAGTGGCCACCACCCCCCCCCCACCCCCACCCCCCCCCCATTTCATTTTTTTTCCTTGTTAATTTTTTTAGGTTAGTAAAAAAAATTTTCTCAGGTTGCCCCCCCCCCCCCACTTTCAAAAACGATGCTACGTGCCTGAATTATATAGAATTATTTTGACTTTTTCCTTGGTAAGCCGCCCGTAGGATTGTGCATTTAGAGGCAAACACCTTAGTGCGGGTATTACTGTCTCATGACAGCATCTAGTGGTCTTTGGAAGTATTTATCAGGACAACAATTCAAGTCTTGAAAGCAGGAATCTTCACAGGAACAAGGCGGACAACGCTCAAGTGTCATGTGAGGTTCATACTTTGTTGTACCTGCCCAGTCAAAACACATATCCTTTTCTCCACAGGCTTCAATATAAATTGTCATCAGCCTTGACACATTGAATCCAGAAGTTAGGCAAATCGCCGACAAAAACCAAACAGCAACTGATTCTTTCATTGCTCCTGCTATTTTTTTTATTTCATGTTGAAATCTGTAATAATTGTTAAACATATTTTTTTTAAGAATTCATCATCTTCATAACTTGACTTTCCTCTTAACGAGGCTAGGGGGTGGCAGCCATTTTTAGACTATTTCAACCTCCTTTAAAAGGAGAGCTCCATATAAAGATATACAAAATGATCAAATTTTAAAACTAAAATATATGAATTTTTTCTTTGTCAAATGATAGTTGACAGCTAACGATACCGTATGTAAAAAATAATTTAAATCTGGTGGTTAATTTGGGATTAATTTGTTGACCCTTCAGCCTCCTTAAACGGTGCCTCAAATTATATACATGTTATTATCAGTATCATACTATCTTAAATGCAAGTCAAACTGTAGCGTCCAAACATTATAATTGTTTTGTTTCCATGCATATCGAAAATGTTGGGTAAATAGTTATTTACTGCTTGGAATATGTAGGAAAATAATAAAAATTTATATTTGATACAACAGATATCTGAGAATTGAGGAGGATCTCTCTCTCTCTCGTACATTTCTTTGTTCAATGAAATCTATGACAGCATATTACTTATTTATTTTGAAAACTTAATCTATTACAAATAATTTGATTTCCTCTTTCCATAATCTCGTCCGAGTATATAATCACGACCGGGAAATGTCTACAGTTAGCTAAAATAATCATCATCAAATAATAACAAGAAACACATTGACGCAAGCGTCAAAAATCGGCCGCAAACCAATTAATTAATTCTTTCATAATACAGTTAGAAACTAAATTCTTATATTTATCTGTTAATATATATCCCTATGACATTAAACATTTGAATGCAACATTCCAGGGTTTTCTTCAGTACATAATACCTGTACATTGCTACATGTACAATGTATTTAAGCAACTTACTCGTAGTCCTCTGCGTCCCCGCACTCAGTTTCATTTGTACAAACGAACTCTGGCGGAAGTTTGATGTTTAAGTAGTTTTAACACTTAACCATCAAAACTAAGGTTTAAACTTATCTAACAAGAGATAGTTTAACTTTAAATAAAACGTAACAACTACGTGGGGCTCCTCGCTCGCTCAGAGGATGTTGAAACCCCCAACTTCCCTCTAGATCCGCCACTACATTTTTTCTCTCTCTTGTTTTGGTGTGAGATGTGGCGGGAAAAAGGCTTGGCATATTGTAAAACGCGATTTGTTCTTGTCTGTTGGAGAAAAATCTCCTAATATTCTGTTTGATAATAAACTAAGATCAAGTCATATTTTTGAAAACTTTCCGTATTAAAAGTACATTGTATATTTATATTTACACGTCATTTTAAATTATTTATACAACAAATCCTGTTGAAGTAGAGAAAGTCAATTTGTTTATACATGTATATAACGCGGCCCTTGCTTTAGACTATGCCCAACATGTGTGCTAATTTCTCCGCACTTCAGTTACGTCGGAGTTTGTCAATCAGGATTGGATGAAACATTTAACCCATTATTTATAAAATTTTAATTTTATGATTATTGTGCGTTTTTGTTTAACATTTAAAAAATCTTTCTTAATATTCTATTACATGAATGTTAAATATTTTTTATTCAAATTGTTCCAACTCCGCAGAAACGCACGGCGACTTAAAACTTTCATATCATATAACCGACCGCCTCCTGGCGGCCGGTAAAAATAACACAAAAATAAATAATAATTTGCATTTGGATTTTAAAATTTGAGTGTATTTACGCAATATGTCAACAGACATCAGTGAATAAAAAGAAGAAAACATTGATGAACCATCAATTGTCACCCGTGAAAAAAATAAAGTAAACAATGGAAATGTGTCTCGATCATCAAACCGCTTCAATATGAGTGAAAAAGGCATGCGTCTAAATGATGGAGACGAAAGTCCAGAATATTTAGAAAACTTTTAGTCGGATGAAAATCGACCAAAAACGGTGCCCTTTTTAAATTTAATCAATTCCTCATGTAAAAGTTGGCTGCATTATATATATTGAAACTAGAGTCATGCATCATCTACAGAAGTGGATCAATTTTTTATATTTATACTACACGCGTTCGGTAAGAAATACACATGTTTTACGGCAATTAAAAAAGTATGTGCAGACAAAATTTTATTTATTATTTGTTAACCAATATTATTTATTTATATTTTAGCAACTGTAATTAGAATTATAGAATAATAGAATAATTTCAATGCAAATAAAAGATCGGAGGCATTCCGAATAAATCGTTAATCTTGCGTTTACCGTTCACTGTGCACTCGCGTTCGCGCTCCGGTCGCGTTCTGCATTCACACATCGTTCACCAAGTTGCATGCAGCGTTCGCACATTGTTCACTCACCGTTCGCTCTGTGTTCGTTAAGCGTTCGTTCAGCGTTCGTTCACCGTTTAGGTGGGAAAGTTGAACATTTCAGGAACCTTAAGTCTATCTCCAAGGTCAATAGTATGACCGGTAGAAATACTTAAGTTAGTACTTTATCTAATAATTATGGAAAGCCACAGGGGACCCCCAAGTCATGTTCTATATATTCATAGTAATTCAATCTTGGGCGGTCATGTTTACAATCCCGGCCAAGTCATGATCGGCCACACGGGACCCCCAAGTCATGTTCTATATATTCATAGTAATTCAATCTTGGGCGGTCATGTTCTATATATTCATTGTAATTCAATCTTGGGCAGTCATGTTCTATATATTCATTGTAATTCAATCTTGGGCGGTCATGTTCTATATATTCATAGTATTTCAATCTTGGGCGGTCATGTTCTATATATTCATAGTATTTCAATCTTGGGCGGTCATGTTCTATATATTCATTGTAATTCAATCTTGGACGGTCATGTTCTATATATTCATTGTAATTCAATCTTGGACGCCAATGGACGGTCATGTTCTATATATTCATAGTAATTCAATCTTGGGCAATCGTGTTAACAATCCTCGCCAAGTCATGATCGGCCACACGGGACCCCCAAGTCATGTTCTATATATTCATAGTAATTTCAATCGGTCATGTTATGATTGCAACTCTGACCAAGTCAGGTTTGGTTTGATAGCATAACATGGCCTTCTTATCTTTGCCGGTCATGATTTGACAACCCTGGCCTAGTCAACATATATCCCATGTTTTACATCTTGACTAGGCCATGATTTTCTATCCCAAGATTGCATTGGCCAAGATACATTACTTCCAAACGCAGTCAAGATTTACTTCCCAAGATTTTATAGGATCGAGATTCGGCCAAGATAGCACATAACTTCCATACGCAGTCAAGATTCACTTCCCAAGATTTCAAAAGACAAAGACTAATTTCCCAAGATTTCAAAAGATCAAGAATAGGCGAAGATTTTTTCGCGGCAAGCATCGGAGTCGAGACCCACTTAAAGGTAGGGATTTTTTTTTTGGTTGTATGTCACGAATATAGGTATTATCTAAAAAATATGGATAAAAATATATCTGTTTAATCAAAGGAAGACCGTATGCATTTCACGTTTTCCTCTTTTTGCTTCTTTCTTTGACATTAGAAACAGAAAAAAATAAATTCTCACAAGATTGATATTTACAGTTTAGAAAAGGCAGAAACTGATGAATAAGATAACATGAAAGAAGACTAGGCTTATTTTTTTGTTTTATTTGGCCCAACTTAATGGCTTACTTAATGGCTTTATTTAATCATGTTTAAAAAACTTAAATGAAGGATATGGAGATAACAAACAGTATTCAATCTCAACGTCCATTAAACAAATCTATAGGCCTACAACCCGTTTTCATGTTGACAATAATAACAGAGATGATAAACAAGTGTTAGATCAGTAATATTGTTTTATTTAGTTACCATGGCTATAGCTTTGTGTTACAGCTTTATTTATTTTTTATGACAAAATGTAGCATTGGGTTGGTTGTATTTGATTTAATGGTGACACATACAGTATATTTTCTATTTTAACTATTTTGTAATATACATAATGGCTGTAATTTAACTGATTTGCAGAGTGACATTCGGTTACATTGGTTACAATCCTTACCCTAGCCCCAGTGAACCAATTAATATTAATTAACCATATTCCTAACCTAACCCCTTTCCCTAAGGCCAGGTAAAATTAATCTTTAGATTCTCATCCTAATTTGCTGAAAAATTAGGGCGGGTGATCGGATTTTATTTTTTATTTTTTATAATTGTTAATTTATATATAGGCCTAAGTATCAACAAAACAATGGAAACCCCGTACACATTCTTTTCAATACCTTAATACAAATATGAATAAGATTTAATTCCTTTCATACTCTTTAAAAATCTAAAAAACATTTTTGCTTTAAAAATCAAATATTTATTGTTGATTAACAAATTATCAAGTACACATTATACGGCACACCCTGAAGAAAATGAGGTAGGGATACCAATAAATTGCGTATGCGTGACTTCTTATTTTGCAAAATTATATATATGTTATAATAATTATTCTACTGAAAAATCTATGCCTTCTCTTAACTCTGTCTATAATGTTGTAGATTTTTTTTTATTTCAAAGCAAAGTCACACAGCTGGAGATCGTTATATATAACTTGACCAGGTGTCATTTTCCTCGTCTATTTTTACTTAGTTACAATCTCTCTACATACTTGCTCCTGCCAGTGATGGTATCTATATGTGTTTATGCTATTTTTTTCCTCTGCCTTCTCTATACTGACAAATTATCTTTTCCTTACACATTTAAACTGCTTTTATTGCCGATTTTTCTCCATTCTTTACATGGCGTTTTTGCTATAAATAGCGGCACGCGACTTTTAATACAGGCGGGAGATAATTCTTAAACTGAACCAAATTCTTACTGAATAAAAAAACATGAAAATACCCAAAAATCAAAATAAAAAACACCGGGGCGGGGCATTTCGAGAGGGACTGGTGGGATGAGAATCTAAAGATTAATTTTATCTGGCCTAATCTGAAAAACTAATTAACCCACATCCTAACTAACAGTATATCCCTAACGTTTATTCCCACCCTAACTAACCTTTATCCCAATCCCAACTAACCTTTATCCCAATCCCAACTAACCTTTATCCCAATCCCAACTAACCTTTATCCCAATCCCAACTAACCTTTATCCCAATCCCAACTAACCTTTATCCCAATCCCAACTAACCTTTATCCCAATCCCAACTTACCTTTATCCCAATCCCAACTAACATTTATCCCAATCCCAACTAACCTTAATCTAAATCCCAACCCTTACCCTGACCCCAAATCCTAAGTATAATTATAAACCCAACCTAACCCTTCTCCCAAATCCCAAACACTAAGCAAAACCATAACTATAACCTTAAACTCTAATTAATCTAAACCAAAATTACTCAATTCCCAGCAGTGACCTAATTTTAACCCTATAGTCCGAATATTTATATGTATTTCTTAACCTATGTTTCCAGCAACCACTGTTACCTGACTTAAATACATAAGAGTTGATTAACCAATGTAACCAATGTGGTTGCAATTGGAAAGGGGTAAAAGTCGTAACTAAATCATATGTTAAATTGACTAATTTTATCAGAATGGCAAAACTTGGGCAGAAAATTGTGAGGGCTTTTGAAAATGAAGAACACTGTGATGTACGTATCACACTAGCTGATGGAACTATCATGTGTGCACATTCATTAGTGTTGGTCATTGGTTGTCAATACTTTCATACCCGATTAAATGGAAATTGGAACAGTGGAAAAGGGAACCATGAAGTAAATTGCAGTGATTTTTCTGCAGGCCTTACACGGTCGATGATTAAGTTTCTTTACCAAACAGATATTGATCTGTCAATAGAAAATGTACAGGACATTCTACAAATTGCAGATTTCTACATCGTTCCTGATTTAAGAAAGAAGTGTGAAGAGTTTTTGCTCTCTTCAATATCATGTGAAAATGTTTTTTCCATCCTGAATATGGCTTTTACATTTAGCATAGAAAATGTTTTGTCATCTGCATTGTCATTTATTGACAATTATTTAGAAAACATTATGTCTATCAGAGAAAATGCAGACTTGTTTTGTACATTTCATAAAGATCTGTTAATTCTTTTAATCAAAAGAGACTCACTGTGCATTCATGAAGAAAAACTCTTCAAATTTGTTGTTATGTGGATGAATTCTGAAAATAGAGCTGAACCTGTTTGTTGGAATACACTTGTTCCTCACATTAGATTTGGAAGAATGTCTATTGATTTTTTCATAGAAAATATTGTTTACAAAAATGTTATAGAAAGTGATTATGCTTTGAAAATCATGTTATATATGTCCTCTTTATCTACACAGAAAGATGTGATTGATCACAATACATATCGTCCAAGAAAGTGTATTTCTTTAAATGATCGTGTAGTGAACAGGTTTTTTTTCCATAGTCCGAATAGTACATGGGAATATGATGCCATTTATGGTGACCGACTAGCTTTTTCTGTAAACTCAGATGTTAGATTATCAGGAGTTATTCTCTTTGGTGCCAAAAACTGTTCATTGTGTGTTGAAATTACCCTTTTTTCTGAAGACTGTATTGTTAAATTAAAAATACGAGAGGAACTTGGAGATGTTTTTGATTTTCCTGTAATTTTTCCAAATGCTGTCGAGATAAAAAAAGAAAAAAATTATACCATTGTTGCAAATGTTAGTGGAAGTAATGTCTTTTTTGGGTTGGATGGTGTAGAGTGTGTAAAAACAATGATTGACAGTAATACAAAGGCTGAAGTTAAGTTTTTTGACAGTGTTGGTAGCAAAACAAATACAAGAAGAGGTCAAATTAAAGGTTTAATTTTGTGCTAAATTTAAATTTTTGCTGACAGACATTTTACACGTTTAAAGTTATTAAACTTTATAAATTGTTTGGAAAATAGCTTTCAATTTGAATTCCTTGGATTAACTTAAATCTTCTATTAATAACGAAGTTAATTTGTTAAACATTATTATTTTATGCATATATTTTCAAATTGAATATGGTAGTTTTGTATTTGCTCAACCAATTGCAATGCATTTATTGATTTAAATGCATCAAATATATCATTTGTCATAGCTATGGTTACATTGTTTTAATATCATTGGTCTAATAGACAAGCATTTTACTGCATATGTGATTAGATTTTATATAGTCATAACAGAATACAGATATTGTGTGTGACTCATAAAAAACAAATATATCATGTATATGAAATACTATTAGAGCTTGAAATGTATTCAGTTTGTCAGAGGTTATGTACTTGTACTGCATAAAAGATAATAAATGTAAAACTCTTACATGTATTTTATTTCATAAGTCCCTTTTTTTGGTGAAACTGGATGGGATTCGATTTATATACAAATCGGGTTTGTTCTTTCGTAGAATTTTCTCAAAATCTATTCATAGCTCAACGTTAATGGTAAAAGTTATTTGAATATGGAACTGCAGAGCCAAATTAAATGTAAGCAAAAAAGAATGATACTATGAAACGATGATGTGTTTAAAAAGTGAATGAATTACATTATTATGACAAACATTGATTAAGAAAATAGATTAGATTTAACTATAAGAGTTTTTTTAGAAAGCTGCTTAGGTATTGAGAGATAATATTCACAATTGGCACACAGTATTGTAATATTGAATTGGGCTAATATCCAAGCAGTGTTTTATAAAAGAACAAACAAGTTCTGATCAAATTTATAATGATTATATTTGAGGTATGTCATTAAACGCACCCTTGGTGTTCTGCCATTTTGCCTTATTTGATGTATGTAGTATTACATGAGTTTTAAGAATTCTTTGATCAATAAAGTTTTGATAAAATAGCATGTGTAAAACTACTACTCACAAAAAGTCAAGCAACTATCTCAGAAGGTATGTTTTTAAGGGAGAAATAACTTGTAATAGATGGTTTTGTTGCAATACCTTCAATTACAAGTAATTTTTTCCTTTAAAAAGAATAAAAATGAGTTTGTTGCTTGACTTTTTGTGAGGGGTATAGGTTACATTTTCAGGGTTTAATTTGGTATGTGCACCATAAATGAGGACACAGAATTATGGATGAAAGTAAGTAATATTCATTTTGTAACTAGGGCACTGCAAGTATTTGCCGATGCCAATTAAGCAATCACCTTATTAGTACCCTACCGGTTTCACTGGTATAAAAATATTGTATTTTTATGACCATTATCATTATGACAGACTAGTAAATGAATGCTTGTATATTTTTGTAGATTTAAAAGACATCATTAGAAGGTACCACAGAAGAGGTTTATCTCACAAGGAAATTCACTTTTTACTGAAAATAAGACATGGTCAAAACTATAGGTATGTGTGTGTACATGTATATATAGCTACATATAATTTGATTAGAAAGAAAGAAAAAATAACAATTTCTTAAAAAAACTACACAAACAACATCAACCCCATCCATTCTTCTAGCATACATATAAAAAAAAACAAAGTTATCAACCAACCTTTTCTTAAAATTTATTCAATAGAAATTAGATTTTATAGCTAGAAGCTACCCACCCCCTCCTTCTTCCAACATTGTTTGAACAACTTAAAAGAAAGTGAAGGGATTGTATATTGAAATCAAATTCAAAATATAAGGAGACTATTGCCACCCCTTTTTTCTTCTCCACTTCGAAAAATGATGCTACTTGTTTGAATATTCAGAGTAGTTGCATCTCTTTCCTCGTGCTTTTGTATTGAATATGCACTGTGCAATGCTGCTGCTAACACTAACCTTCTAAAATAAAGGTGTGTTGGTCTGTTAATGACATGCTAATTAAGGCTAATTAATTTTAATAAAAAAACTTTTTTTATTCACTGAAAGGAATGAAATACTTTAAATTTCTATTTTCTTCCAGTTTCCAATATCTGAAGAGAAAAGTAATACCAAGATTAAATTTAAATGACAGAAGAGGAAATAGAAACCTGCCAGATTTTGATGAAGTATTGGATCTGATAAAGGTAAATTCAATGTACACACACATATGCATGTGCCTGTGTGTGGAGGGAGAGAGAATATATAAATAAAAATGCATGCATAATGTGTCTGTGTGTTATTTTTACTTTCAGAATGAAGTGAAAATAAAACCAGATCGAAGTATCTCTGACATGTTTTTCAGATTGAAAACAATCCATGGGTGCAATGTTCGAAGGTAAAGTAGACTTTTTAGCTCACCTGAGCCACAAGGCTCAAGTGAGCTTTTCTGATCAAAATTTGTCTGTCGTTGTCGTTGTTGTCGTAAACTTTTCACATTTTCATCTTTTTCTCAAGAACCACTGGGCCAATGTCAACCAAACTTGGCACAAAGTATCCTTGGGTGAAGGGGATTCAAGTTTGTTCAAATGAAGGGCCACGCCCTTCTCCAAGGGGAGATAATCATGATTTAGAGAAAAATTATTGGCATTTTTAAAAAATTTTCTCCTCAAGAACCACTGGGCCAGGAAAGATGAAACTCGTGTGGAATCATCCTCAGGTAGAGTAGATTCAAGTTTGTTCAAGTCATGACCCCCATGGGTAGGGCGGGGCCAAAATGGCCGATCAAAGTTTTACATAGGAATACATAGGAAATATCTACTTCTCAATAACCACTGGGCCAGGAAAAATGAAACTCGAGTGGAATCATCCTCAGGTAGTGTAGATTCAAGTTTGTTCAAGTCATGACCCCCATGGGTAGGGCAGGGCCAAAATGGCCGATCAAAGTTTTACATAGGAATATATAGGAAAAATAGAAATATATAGGGAAACCTTTTTAAATTATCTTTTCAAGTACTTCAAAGCCAGGATTAGTAATATTTGTATGGAATCATCCTCAGGTAATGTAGATTCTAGTTCGTTCAAAGTATGATCCCCTTGGCAATAAAAATTCAAGCCCCCTTCCCCCAACATAAATTAACTTTCAGTTCTGATCTGAAATGTTTTTTCCTAGCTGATGGGCTCAGGTGAGCATTGTGGCCCCAGGGCCTCTTGTTAATATTTCTCCTTGGTTACACACAGTTGCAGGAACACAGAGAATGTGGAAAAAATGTATCAATTTTTACTTTTTTGATAGAGAATTGGTGAGGCAAATAATGAAAGCACTAGACCCTGTCGGCGTGTCCCTCAGGAAGGGAAACAAACTGAAACGAAGACAGTACCTTAGTAAAGGTTTTTCATAATTATTTACTTTGATTGTAGAGTTACATGTGCAAAAGTTTATGGTTTATAATTTTTGTTCAATACATGTACTGCATTTGGATTACTGTAGTAAGATAATATTTTGTTGAATCCTTGTCATTGCAATTTTAACAGGTCCCAATTGGCTTTTGCATATAGGTAAGTTAGCATTTTTATGAAAAAATTGCAAATAGATTTTTTTAAAAAAACTTTTAAGGCAGTGATTCATTTTGACGTGGTGCGTCCTGCATGAAATATACACAAAATTTGCTCAGTTCACATAATTTCACTATTTGTGCATCTCATTTTAAAAATACACATGCCCATGCATTTTTTCGCTAGAACAAGATGCCCGAAATATTCCGAATTCAAACACACTACAAAAGCAGAAATCTCATAGGTCAACACTTAATAATTAACCAATGAGATCCAATGATACATGACATTACCTTGTTGATGTTGATCATGATGCTACCAAATAAAACGGACAAAATTACTCCGGATCCAGGATAGATTAACCAGGGTTTATGAAAAAGTAGACAAGTGGCAGTTAATAGCAACAAAGAGGTTCATGCTAAAAGGAACGCTGATCCAGAACGTGTAATAAATGGCTATTGATACAGGCGATAAGGAAACAGGCAAAACTCTGAAGGGTCCCAGTGACAGCACTTTGCCTGTCTCTTAGTATGGTCATTTAACATTTTAGTTTAGATAAGCATAGCTTGTTTGATATTCATGTTCTAGGTAAAATAAATATGGACTTGTTTTTGGCTTGGGACTCATAATTATGGTTAAAAGGGGGCCTTTGGACTCGTATAGACAATTTTCAAAATGAATCACTGTTATTAAAGTTGTTAATTCAATTTAAATGGAATTAAAGTATTTTATTAACATGTTTTATAGTACTGTAGCGCATGAGCAACGTGTAATGTAAATATATAAATATATTTAGTTTCTATGCTTTGAAACCAGTCATTGCAATGTACGTATATTTCAAATACATTGGTGAAGTCTGCTGTTCAATGAATGCCAGTAAACAGCAGAATGAATCATTTATGGTGTATATAAATTTTTAAATTAAAAACTGTATGATATTTAGTATCTTTTTTAATAATTGTAGATCAGTATGATAAATTGAGCCCTTTTGGGATTTATATCAGTGGATGCATTGATGGGTAGGTAAACATAAAATGTTGGGAATTTATTAATTATACTTTTTACTATATCCTTAGAGATGTAGGCACATTTGATAGCATTGACAGATTTAACCCTGTGTTTGAGTCTAGTCTGTCACTATTGCGGTTACGTTGGGCAAGTTACTTTACTAGTGCACTCTCTCCACCCAGAGTTTAATTTGGTAATGCAAAAGCTTACAAATCTTACATGTTCCATTGTAATTTTAGGTTTTCCCGCTATGTGCTATGGGTGGAAGCTGGTGTCAGCAATAAAAACTGCAAAAAGATTGCAGGGTACTTTTTGAAGACTTTGGAGAATGTTAAAGGTACATGTAATTCAGTGCAAAGATTTGGAAGAGTTGGTTTGTTAAATGAATATATTGAAGACAATATCTCATTTGATTTCTGGAGTTTAAGCAAGATGGCTTGTTTTCTGTAATATTTTTTTTTACCTTTTGCATCTGTTAATGTTGATGTTTATACATATTGTATACTGATTTGTAGGATTTCCACATATTATTCGAGGAGATGCAGGTCAGTTTTTTTTTTTTAAAAACGGTGTGAATTTAAAAAAAAAGAGAGAGAGGAATAAATCAGGTTATTGATTTGTCAGGCTAGTAATAACATGGATACCCCTGCAAATAAATCTAAAGGAGGTATGCTGGAATCATCCAGTCTGTCTTTAAGAACAATTTGTCCCCCATCCTATAGATTTTTTTTTCCTACTGCATAGAAAAGAATGACAATTGGTGCATTTTTTGAAAAAAACCATTTGAATATGTGAACCTGCAATGTTTAGCTCTACTGGTCAGAGACCAGAAGAGCATATGCAAAAGTAATGCGTTTGTCCGTCTGTCTGTCCGTCTGTAAACAATTTTTCAAAACGCTACTCCTCCTACAGTTTTGGTCTGATTTCAATATGACTTGGCACACAAGTAGACTGCACTACGATACATAGAATAGTGCATCGGTTTTTAATTTCGATGAACTGTAATGCCATGGTTACTAAAAATAGAATTTTCTATGAAATTACTTTAAAATGCTACTCCTTCTACAGTTTTGGTCTGATTTTAATATAACTTGGCACACAAGTAGACTACACTAAGATACATAGAATAGTGCATCAGTTTTTGATTTCGATGAACAGTGTTACCATGGTTACTAAAAATAGAATTATCTGTGAAATTCCTTTAACATGCTCCTCCTTCTTCAGTTTTAGTTTGATTTCGAAATAAGTTGGCACACAAGTAGACTACACAAAGATACATAAAATATTGAAATGGTTTTTGATAAGTACAAATCAGTAGAGCTACAGTCTTGACAGAGACTTCTGGTTAAATGAGTTTTCCCAAAGAAAAGTCCTATTATTAAAATGGTTAAAATTTTGGGTGGGTTGCTGCCAAACAGGTACACTCCTCAACTCCCACCCCATCAACATTTTCATTAAAAAAGGGGGTTTTTAAACAACGACTAATAAAAGTGGGGTAACACAGGAGGCTCAGATTTGCATTTAAACTTCAACATGAAGCTTTAAATAAAAACATAAGACTGACATATTAATCTAAGAGCTATGGTACTTGGGTGACCATCAAGACCTGTGGCCATCTTGTTAAGGTAAAGGTTGTGCATTAACCTTAAACCTGTCAAGGTCAGATGTGAATGTCCTATTAGAATTATGTAAAAAAAAAAAAACAAACAAAAAAAACTCTGGTCAGGAG